ACTATAAAAATAATCTAAAGCTGGCGTTTTTCTGATGCAGGCCCAAGTAAAAATGCCATAGGGCCTTCAGGTTGCGGTGACGCGACCTGGGGGCCCTATTCCAACCTCGGGTCCCGTGAGGGGCCCGTGTGTAGGCTTTCAGCATGTAACATCCACTGTACAAGACTACAAGTAATCTAGGTTCCTATTACTTCCTAACCATCAATATGGCGGGGAAGGGGGGGGAAGGGAAAAAAAAACATGGCGGCAGCTCAGTCGGTGGAGACATGCATACATCATGAAGAAAGAAAACCTACCTATATTTCTCGGGGTGCCCACATTAGCCCGACACATGCAGTGTCATTGCAGCCTTTGTATCAGAGTCCAAAAGAGACATGCAGCCTAGCAATCTCCATGAACAGTGGGCTTGCAACCATCAACACAGCCGCAATGATGCTCAGTATGTAGCAACATGGATATATATTATATCATGAAGAAAACCTACCTACCTTCTTCCCCCGAATACAACATACGGTCATTATAGCTGTATTTGAGGCATCTTTCAGTCTAGATACAGCTATAATGACCGTCCGTTGTATTCGGGGAAGGAAGGTAGTACCTACATTTCTCGCAGCCCCAACGTTAGCCCGAATGAGACATCCAGCCCTTATATCAGCCCAAAAGGGACATGCGGTCCTTTTAGCAGTCCAAAAGAGCCATGCAGCCTACCAATCTCCACGAACAGTGGCGTTGTAGCCACCTATGCCCAGCCTAGCATTTGCCCAAATGAGACATGCACCCTTTGTATGAGCCCAATAGAAACATGCAGCCAACGTTGCACATGTAAAGTGACATCACAACCTTTGCATGAGATAACTTTTGGTCTAGACTCTAGCGCTGTTCAAGCAGGGTTCCACCACTGCCCCTTATCTTCTCCGCATCCGTTCACCGCTGTCCCTCGTCTGGTCCACACCTGTTCACCTCTGTCCCTTGTCCGCACACACACACACACACACACACACACCCCTTTCCTACCAGTGCACTGACCTAGATGACCTGGTACCGCCCCCGTCACTGCTGCACTGTGACGATCTAGGACCTGTAGAGCGCAACTCTTTGCACGTTCCCGTTCCTTTTGCAGTACTAATCAGGGACTCCGAGGTCGTGTGTTACAATTTCAGCCTCCCATTTGCCAAATTTTGTTGGATCTCAGAAATAACCTTGAAACTTGCTGTCCTTCGAGACATCCGCTAAAATTGGAACGATACAGAGAAGGGTAATTAGCAAAATGGCCCCTGCGCAAGGAAAAACTTTGAAACTTGCTTTCAGCATTCTCTTCCTGCGCCATTTCTCTCTCTCTCTTTTTTTTTTTTTTTTTTCTTTTGAGCACGTTTAGAATTTCTGAATATGGCTGGGTTTGCCATGCCCTCAGTTCTTTTCGAAGTGCCAACTTATTTCTCGTCCTTTTTTTTCCCCCAGTCTCTTTTAGGGATGGTGATAAGAGCATACACTCCTAACAGATCCTTAAGAGACTCCAATCTATTGGTGGGGAGTAACACCTGCTGGAAACCGGGCCCAGCGTCCCAGCGTCCCAGATAAGTACATAGTACGTACAAGAAAACAAAATATTATCACCAATGTCGTCATTCTTTTTCACTGCGAGCCTTTTCCCTGTTGCTTAGTCTTGACATTTTGCATCACTTCCTCCTTCCACTCACTACCTTGCCTTCCCTGGTCGTGCGTGCTCCTCGCCCGACCCTTCTGCTCGCTGTACTCGCTTGCTACTTCTGATCCTATAGTGCCCTCCTTTTCAACTCTTCTCCCTGACCACCATCCTTCCTCTCCCTGACCACCATCCTTCCTCTCCCTGACCACCATCCTTCCTCTCCCTTCTTTCCTCCTAAGACCCCTTTCCTACCCCTTTTCCCTTCACCTGATAGGATCAACGACTCTGGATGTTGGAAAAATGCGCGGAGTTGAGTTCGTCCCCCACGCCACGGTCCGACTACGCAGGATCATAGGCACTTCCTTTGTCCTCTCTTTTTCTAACCATCCCTGCTTCTTTCCCCTTCCTTCTCCTTTCCCTTTCTCTCTCCTGCTCGAAACTTGTTTCTACAACGCTCAGGATCGCGACTTTCCCTCTCTCTTGCCTTTTGTCAGCCAACTGATCACAGGATGTCATATTGGTGGAGTAGATGGTAGCCGGGAACTTAAGCCTCATGAGCTGGGGTAATCAAGCGGGGTAACAAGATCTCTCTCTCTCTCTCTCTCTCTCTCTCTCTCTCTCTCTCTCTCTCTCTCTCTCATGCATACTCGGAATAATCCGAGTGATGCAAATGGAGCCAAAGGACCAGCAACGTGAGGATAAGGACTCACAACAAGCAATGCACATCCATATACATACAAAGACGGCATAATGTCGCGCAGTGGGAGACTCAAAGATACGACCTGACCTGTCGGACACTGACTCGGCTCAGCCCATCATACACCTCACATGTGAGAGACAAGGGAGGGACCACATGCATGGAAGAAAGGTCCCTCCTTGAGCATGCACAGGGGGAGAAACGACGGATGAGGGGATGGAGGAAGAGCAAGACGAAAGATGGAGATGAGGGAGAAGACCAAGATCGCGATAGCGCAGTCTGAAAATAGTCTCCCTGTCGAATGCCCAATCAATGTCTGCCCCTGTGATGTCAAATCAGACCCTGGGCCCCATAGCCTGACAAGGCTGACATAACCTCTGCCTGTAACCTCTCTCTCTCTCTCTCTCTCTCTCTCTCTCTCTCTCTCTCTCTCTCTCTC